TTCTTTGCATTACTAATCTATTTTTTGATCATTTCTTTTGTAAGCTATGGTGACCTGCTCTAATAAGATAATTCAACCCGGGCTCGTTCGATGTAACTTTACTTGAGGAAAACCTGTGTTTGTACAAAATGTAGAGATTGTAAATTTCTTGATTTATGCTTAAAAATTTATCCAATCTCTGTTGACTTTGGCTCAGAGCTGTTCTTATCAAAGCCAAATGAAACATGCCTTTATCCAAGGAACATGGAGAGTTGTGAGTCGACAGGTAATAGTGCTTGGGTTAACACGAGTTATGCGTAACACGCATTGAAAATGAAATTTTTTGATATAATCTGAAAAAAAAAACACGAGAAGAACTTTACTAGAAGCAGCTGTCATCTGGAAAATTGATTTGACCTATAACGTGTGGATTTAGATAAGAAAAGTAACAATGCCTTTGTTAATCACACTGTGAGCACATTCAAAAAAACTGTCCCAAGTTTGCAGAGATTTTGTGTTTGCTGAGAATTGTAGTGTTTTATGACAGTTATGCTTTATGATAATGTTTTGTTTTTATTTATTACATCAATCGTTCAATACCTTTGCATTTTTTCACTAAAAGCACAGTAAAAGCTAGCATATTAGATTTCACAGAAAAATTGGTCGAAACAAGCAATCGAAATGAGTTTTTTGACTAAGTAATTGAATGTCATTTGATTTTCCAGTATTTGTTGGAAAAACATGTCAATCGATTTCCAAAATTGGATGAGAAAAACACTCCTGAATGTCAAATAACTGTTTTGTCTCATCGTAGGTAAACTTTGTTTTATTCTGATAAGGATATGTTTTAGCAAAACAAAAATGTGATTTAATACACCACAAACTATGTGTTTTTTGCTAAAGAAAAAAATGGTGCTTTCTTGAGGATAGCAACAGCTTTTTTTTGCACATCTGAGTTTCATTGGTTATCACTCAGTTTTATATAATTATTTTGAGGTTTAAGTTGGTTAGTTGAAGTCTTTAGCAAAAAGTCACTCCTTGATAAGAATAAAAAATTCATTTTTTTCAATTGCTAACACAAAATTTTTGAAAATTACAAATCTTTGAAAACATTTTTCAAGACCGAAATTTCCTTAACAATGCTGGTGATTCTAAATATCTTTTGATCATTGTATTTTGCTAATCAAAACAAATTCTATTAAATAAGCTCTGAATGTCTCAAGCTGACGTTGCTTAGGTTTTACAGCTAAAGCTCGACAAACAGTAAGTGAGTGGTGATCTAACGACGTTATTAAAAATCGTATTAGTTTTTCTTGCTTAGAAACACAAGTAATTGAATAGTTTTCCTGAAAACATGGAGAGGATGTTTTGTAAAAAAAACTACTGCCAGATTTAAGACAATGTTGTTCAAAAGAGTTGACTCAGATTGAGTGGACAATCAGTGAGTAGCAAACTTATGGAAAAGCTTATAAAAAATGAAGACAAAAAAATATATATTGATTAATGTTTTGATGTTGATTTTGATACCGATTTTGTTTGTTTTTTTATTAACTTTTGTTTTATTGAATAACGATTGATTGTCTAACTTTGTTGGTTGTATGTTCTTTTACAAGAAAAAAATGAATAGTTTACTATGGTTAGTTGTTTTTAAAACTTCATGCACAGAGATTTTTTTCTGATCCAAAAAGTATTGAAAAGGTGTATTTGAAATTTTCCTTGGACGGAATGCTCGTTTTGATTTTTTATTATCAAATTTTAAAAAAAAACTCTATCATAAGTAAAGCTCAATTCTGATTGATTGATATCAAAAACTCTCACTGGGTAAACTCGACTCAGATTGGTTGATTCACATTAAAAATAATGGGTCAAGGCATTTGTATCGCCTTTTTTACGTCTTCATTCAAAGTTTGGGATTTTTTTTCTATAAAGTTTAAATCTCCTACTAAAAATTTTGGATTTTCTTAAACCTCTCATTTCTTAAAATATATTAAGTCCTTCCTTCACTTCACTGAATATAGACAAGATAGCCGCCACTTTTCCTTGTGTTAGAGATTACACACGTCAAAAGGTACCAAAACACCGTAAACTCTGAGCCTTTGCAAAGTGTCTGACTTGTAATGATCAAATAATGGGAGGAACTGATTTCCTACATTAAACAGAAGCATTTTAATCCTGTTTACTTTTCTTGGCGGAATTATGTTCTTGTTATACAAGATGACTGAATGCCCGTTGAACATGTCACAAACAAAAATGACTCGTTCCACAAAAAAGCTTAAATAAAAAATAATTTTATCGCAGATCAAAAATCATTCGGAAAAATTGGGATAATTAATTACTTTTACACAAAATTTGTACCGAGAAACCTATACAATTTTGTTAAGAGTATAAAATGCCTAGTAAAAACTACACAACAGTTTCGATCGCAACATTTTTGGTCAACTTGATATTTCACTTATGCTTTTGTGGATGGAGAAACATGAAAGAAAAAGTGGATGTAAAAACCTATTCAAGCAACACTCGTGCACAAATTGTTTTGAAACTCTCAATGGGAATTGAATCAAACCTCTCAATATCATAATGACTGCAATGGCAGCAGAATTTTTTTAAAACTCTGTTGTGTTAATTGTTGCAGTTTCTTTACCCTAACGTAGTACCTTACAAATTGTTTACCTGTATTAACATTAAAGCTTCTGTTACCTATTCTAAGATAGAGACGGCCCTATTTCAAAACTTGCCAATCGAATTACTTGGGAAAACCCCGCGATGAGGGGTCCCAATATATACTGACTAGAAAACTGTACACTTCTACAAAACATTAAACACAGAAAAACACAAATTTAGAAATCTAGCCGATACATCCGACGCTAAATCCGCAAATCGCCGCTCTAAGTTGCCCTCACTAAAAATTCTATCACATTTGCAATCAACAGCAAACATAATTACAAACAGAAACTTACGAATCAAAAACGCAACAATTAATGCAACAAAAACAACCATAAAGAAAGTTAAAATAGAACAAAAATTTTTCAAAATCTTCATTTCGATCTCTTTAAATAAACAAAGTGCAACCGAGAGTTAACTAATTTGCATCAAAAAGAACAGTGTCTGAGCAGTAACAATAAAATGAAAAATTAAACCAAAGCCATAAAAGGAACGGAAAACGGACATTGTAGCAGGAAAATTTATGATTTGAAAATAATTTCATCAAAACAATCTCTTGTTTGTTGTAACAAACACGAAACCAAATAAAAATTAGAGTAAACATGTACAAAAAAATCGAAAACCTTCAAAAACAGAACATATCAAATCAAGCTCTATTTGGTTTTTTTTTACAGTTTCCATTTTTTTCTGGGCTGCAAAGTTTTGGCTTTCTCTTTTGTTGAATAGGCTAAATCATTTCATTTTGCATTGTTCGGAGTTCCAAATTTTATTGCTTTCGCTTTAGAAAGAAGGATCAAAATGTTCAAGAAATTTTGAAAAATGTGTGTTTTTTTTGTTTCGCTTTGGCTAAGCGTTCGTCAACCCAGTTTAGACTGCATCATCATTGTTTCTTCAATTGTTTTTAGCTGTAGTTTAAAATTTAGCTATTGGTTTTTTTGGCATGTCTTTTTTCGAAATGAAAGTCAACCAAGACATATATTGGAACAAGTTTGGCAAATATTGTAGAAAATGTTTTTTTTTTTAATTTCTGGTTTCCGACTAGTTTTCTGTCAGCAATCTTACCAGATTAAAGTTTGTGTTGTTCAAGGAAGTATTTCATCATTGCAAGAGACTAGAATGTGAATTGATTGTCATATTTTGTTTTAATACAGTTTTTTTTCTCGCAAATTGACTGAAATGGAGACATACCAAATCAAGCTCAAAAAATACTCACAAAATATTGAAAAGGATGGGAATGGGAAAATAATGAAAAAAAATTATTAAAACACTTACCAGAAACATTGCCGCATGCGCAGAAAGTTCCTATCGCATTGTTTTAAAATAAGATTTTCAAAAGATACAGAAAAAGTTTTTCAAATGTTTCATTCTTTATTTGTTTTTTTTTTGGTAAAACGTCAATAAATTTAGAGAAATTACTACGAGAAAATTTAAAATGGGGGGGGGGGGGGTAAATTGTAAATTACTACGAGAAGTTTTAAAATGGGGGGTGGGGGGTAAAATTATATCGCTTAAGATCAGCAAGCGTTTTTAAATTGGAACCTAAGTTTTTTCAGGAAAATAAACTCTTCAAACGGAATCAATGAATTATTTTTCTTAAACATGCAAAAATGTCGGTCAACAGGTTGATCTTTTACCGTTTTTGGGGTTGGTTCAAAATTTGTCAACTTAGATTTGATACAGTTTCAATTTTTAATAGTTTTTGTTTTCTGCGCTAAAAAGTGTCGGCTTTCTCTTTTGTTAAATCAGCCAAGTCACCCCATAGTGAGTCGTTTGAAAATCAAAAATAGAGCCTTTACTTTTTTGCTTCAGAAGACGTATGTTTTTCGGCTAAGCGATTGTCTACCCAGCTTAGATCTCTTCGTCGCTGCTTCGAAAATTTTGTTTCATTACAACTTTAAAGCTATATATTGGTCTTTTTAGCCAGTTTTGTTTGAAACGAAATTACACTCATGCATACGTTGGAGCAAGTTTAGCAGATATTTCAGGTAAAGATTTTTTTTAAAAAAAATCTGGCTTCCACCTAGTTTTCGGTCAGCAAATCTTGTGGATTTTTTTTGTGATTATAAAAAAGTGTTGCCATAAATTATTTTTACTACAAAGAGCTCGTTAGATAAACGAATATTTGAAGGGAAGCTTAGTTGCCTCGCAGCTTAGTGAGCTCCTGCTTACAAAATGGTTCGCTCCTTTCATTGCTTAAAATTGTCTAGACAGTTCTGTCTGTTTTCTAAGAAAGCAACCTTCAGTTCAAATTCGGATTTCAATGTTGCTCATGCGTTCTGAAAAACGAAGATTTCTTAAGCTGGTGGATTCTGGTCTACAGAATCGATTCACTTTTAAAGCGTGGTTGAAATTAGCCGCAAATGAAATTAACCGAAGATAATTAATTGGTTCTTTATTTTCGTCATGGTCGAGTTAACCCCTTCTTGGTTTTACCTTACTCGCCACAGATTCTTTTAAAAGTTAGTCTGAGCGGCAAAAAAGTCATAATTGGATAATAAAGTACGTGTTAACATATTTGTCGAAGAGTAATCAATAAATCTCTTGAGCTATCATGGAACAGTACGATGCTTCCTTTAATTGTCAGACCAAAACTGCAGGTAGGTCAATCTCGAATTTTCATCTTGATATTTGTTAGCCGATAAAAAACCGATTGTTTTTTAGTATTTGAGTTCACAGCAGATAATTTTTATGCATATGATACTGATTTTGTTAATATATTTCATTTGATTTTTTGCATTGCGATAAGGAACTAACATTGGGACAGTTAAATGGCTCTGTCACGAGAAAGCTGCGCTCGATTTAGTGTAATTTGGAATTTAGAAAAAGAAATTTCTTAAGAATATTGATCAATATAGTTATTTCTGCAGCGCAGTTTGAGCGGTTCAACGTTCTGGAACCTGAGTTTGAGCAGCATGTGACTCCTATAGACCTAACAGAGTTTGTGGAGCCGGCTACTCTGGTCGAAGCAGACTGTTCGTATGGGTCAGGGGAGCGAGTAGACAATCCAGAGGTCTATGATTTCAGCGTCCGAACTGAATCCGACGAGAGTCGACAACACGATGATGAACTGGCAGATGTAAGTTGAAGTCTTTGTTTAGATTTGTATCAAAGATGCAAATGTCGACTTTATCGCCCAATATTTAGTGACTAATATTTAGTGAAACAGGTGCTTCGAGGCGGCTAACTGTGATTCGTGCTCATAGCTTGAGGACTAGGCAGTATTTTCTAGCCAAGGAAAACAAATATATCTAGTTTATCTTGGCTCGTTTGTTGATCCTTCCCTCGAGTTATCGCGACGACGGTTTTTCGGCTTCAACGGTTTTTCACCAATTGAAAATAATCATTTAAATGCTCGTTCCTATGTAACTACCTGGATAATTGTTCTGACCACCCGTTAGGGTGGCAAAGAACTATCGCTTTATGGCCTGTTTTTTTTTCCAGCAGATTTTGACTCTCAGAGAAAGCTCGCTGGGGTTGAAGAGTAGTATCACGTATCACACATTTCAACCGTGAATCCAATGCTTAAAAAAATTCGAAAAAATGTCTCAGTATCGAGAAAAACGGTGATTTGTTTTCAGTGGTTGAGATTAAATGAGATAAATACTAACAGAAAATCGACTAGTGAGACGCAGTTTACTGACGCAGTTTTAAGATATATCTGTTGGAAAATTAAAGATAAATGCGGAAACTTAAGCATCGTCGAGCCTCACTTTTCAAGCTACTATTTGATTTTGATTTATAGTCACTTTCTCCTATTCATAATCAGTCGCAATAAAGCAAATCAGATCACAAAAATTTAACTTAAACCTAGTCGTTATTGTTCCGACTTTCGATACGAAAGTAACGGAATATTTGTGCTCGGGGTGGGTTTTTTTCTTCAGACAAATTTCGACTTTTTAACTAGCCATTTTTGACGGAATTTTTTAATATCATTCAAAAGGTTTTGTTGTCCTGAGCTCAAATTTGAAAAGATATTTCACCTGTGATCATTTTTCGTAAAGTTACGGGGGTTTAAAGTTTGCCATTTTGGCCAACTTGGGACAATTAACGCGCGATATATTTCGCGCTATTAACGCGTAAGCGGAGAGTTAAACCGTGTTAGAAATCGTTCCAAATTGGTTAAAAGAAGCTCATATGCCATAATTGATTTGTTACAAGGAGAAATTTCTATCTTTTTGTTCTTTATGTGGCGTGTGGGGAGATGAATTTCATGAAAAATTTCAAATTAAAAAAAAATCATTTTTTTTTATTTCATTTGTTTTTTGAATGTTACTACTGCTTCATAGACCTTAAAAGGCAGCCGGAACATTCAGGGCTTCGTCCTCATACGAGCAGTCATGTTGTTTTTATTTTAAATTTCCGTTTTAAATTTCCTATTTTCAGTTTTTTTTTCAAACGACTCTTTCACATGTCGAATTCGTGCGACAAGTTGAATTGGGTCAGTCACATGAGAGCTGTAGTACCTAATCTAGCTTCAGGAAAAAGTCAAAATTTAAAGTACCTGGCGGAATGGAGGATTTTTATTTCATTGCACTTGCGATTGCAACATATTACTAGATTTTTTCCCCTAACAATCGTCGCTCACAGGACTCTTCTCTCTTGAAAAAACTCTAACAGATGTATTTGGACTATGTAAAATCCGTCATATTCATAATTTGCTTTTTACGTTGGTTGCAATTTTACCCAATTAATTTGTTTAAAACTTACATATTTTTTGCGGCTTAATCGGTTTATATGAGTTTGGTGGTCTATGACTGCGTCGTTTAATAATGCCGGAAAAATAACAAAAAGAAAATTTTTTGTGCACTGGTGTGTGTTTTCAGGGAGAAGGGCTTGAAATCTTTTATAATTTTTCAACAGAATATTTGTGATCGGGGTTGTTTTTTTCGTCAGACAATTTTCGACTCTTTAATTAGCCATTTTCGACAATTTTTTTGGTCTGTTTTTTCAAAAAATTGTCTGCTGCAAAATTTTGTTTTGACAAAATAGAGTCCTTATAATTTTTTTGGAGAGCTCGGGAAATCAAAATGGTTGACCTAGAAAAAAAAGATCGACAAAATTTCCAAGCTTTTTTGAAAAACCGCACCTAGAAAAATTTCTGTACACGCCACTGGGTGGTCCTTAGGGTGATCAAATGAAAAACAAGACTGCTCGTATCAGGACCAAGCCCTGAATGTTCCGATTGCCTTTTAAGGTCTTTGAAGCAGTAATACCAGGTCAATGGAGCAGTAAAATTAAATGTATTAAAAAAAAATGAAAGCAAAAAAATAGATAGTTTGAACATTTGTCAAAATCATTCCCCCACAAGCCATATTAAGTTCAAAGTGATAGATTTCTTTGCTAGTAACAGCTCAATTAGGGCCAATAAGCTTACTTAAACCAATTTGGAACGATTTCTAAGACGGATTAAGTCTTCGCTTACGCGTTATTAGCGCGAAATATATCGCCGGTTAATTGTCCCAAATAGTTTTAACTGGCAATCTTGAAACATCCAAAATATTACGAAAAATGATCACAAGTGAATTATCTTTTCAAGTTTAAGCTCACGACAACAATACATTTTGAATGATGTAAAAAATTCCGTCAAAATGGCTAGTTAAAAAGTCTAAATTTGTCTGATAAGAATTCACCCCGAGCGCAAATATTTCGTAACTTTCGTTACAAAGTTCGGAACAATAATGATTCTTCGATTGATCGCCTGACACAACAAAAAAAACAATTCAATAGTAATCAGTCGTACTAGTAAATCCTTTTTGAGTCGAATTTTTTATAGGCATAACAGAGTTTCTATTGAGGGCAGCCGGTTGCGAAAGCCTTAGTCCATCCAAGTCGGAGCAATAACTATACTCAATATGCGCAGCAACAGAAATAAGAGCCATGAAAGTGCTACAGGATTTTTCAATAAAAAGGTATAGTCACTTCGCAAGAAAAGATGACTTTATACAAAAGATCTTGAATTGCTAATTTTTCTTCTGAAGTTTTTTCTAATTTTTTGGCCCCCTGAGGTTTTCAAAATCGTGATACGATTTTTTCTAAAATGAAGTTCAATTTTTGACCAGCACAATTAATAGTGAAAATTATTTCTTTGTTCATTCAGTTATTCAGTTAGCAATTTTTTTGCTAACGAATGCGCGCTGTAATCATTCTGAAGCAATATTTCGAAGATTTTTTGATAAGAGAAAGTGATTGTGATGGGAAGGAAGAGACTTCCCAATTGATTTTACAATTTATTTTGAGATGAAATGTTGCAGGTCAGAGTTTCGAAGTTTTTTTCACATTGCGATAAACTAGCGTTCTCAAATCGGAAGTTTTTTTTTAGGTTAAAAAGTATTATCAGCAAAATCATTTGGTCAACTCATTTGGATAACACCAAAACCCATCGGTCAACTATGTATTTCAACATATATATTTGACCATATCTGCGTTGTAACCTTGTTACGCTTTCATCAATTTTTATTGGTTGTACGTTTACCGACCCTTATTTGATGCCGCATAAAATTGTTAGTTGTTTATTGAATATGCTATGATTGGGTTTTGCAGAAAGTAAGTTTTTTTATTAAAATGATGTGTCTAACTATATATACAAACAATCTCTGCAAAAAACAGATAGGATAAGAAGACTGAAACTTTTTTCCGGCTATCTTTGAAGAAAGGGAGGGAATAATAGCCCCGAATGAGTTTTTTCCATGGTTTTGGGTTACACATAAAAAAGACAGCTCAATTGAGTGCAAATGTGGGATCATATTGAAACAGTTAATAAATAAAGCTGTTGTTGAAAAATATATAACCACCAAAAGCGCTTTGGGCGCCAATGTACACTCAAAACTAGGGATCGCCTGCCAGAAAAAAAAACAAACTCTCCAAGAAGTATCAATACGGCATTTTTAGAACCAGTTTAACACTAGGATTTATATCTAATTAAATTATTGACAAAAATAGCTTTATAAAAAAAATCCTAAGCTATTTAATCGTGATCCATAACTAAACGACTGATAAAAAGATACAAATAACGTTCGTTTCCAACAAATCTGCAGTAACTTTAAAAATTTTGTAAATTTAAAATTAATTGATAAAGAATATTACAATTAATTACTAAATCAATTTAAAATTAGTCTTATTGAATTTATAAAAAAGTCCCTTGCTTCTAAAGGACTCATATCCTCATCCTTCACCAATCATGCTTCCTTGTTTCTTCATCTAAAACATAACCATAATCACTCAAAAATTAATATCATTTAAACCTTTCAATTTTGAATCAGTCTTTCCTTGAAATTATAACCTTAATCGACAACAAAAATAAACCAATAAACGTTCAAAAACGTTTTTTCGAATCAGAATACAAAACACCATCATCTAATAAAAGTAAATGCAGAACAAAAATTTCACATCTTCGTCAGCCAGTAGGTAGGACTCTATAATTAGAATCAACCAAAAAAGTATATTGAAAGGTTTACATTAACCGTAATTCTGCTCAAAAAAGTGATTCAATTCGACGAAAATTATGTTGATGTTACTACTCTACTTTCCGATCCCGCTAGAGAACAAGTACAACTTTGCTATAATCTAATTTGACTTTGGAATGGCAAATCTAATGGTTTGTTGCCGTAGTCATAACCCTCACGGGATTTAAAGTTGGGACCCAACATCGCAGCAAAGCTACCCATTGAAGAAGAGCAATGGCCGCCTCGATGTTGATTTCAAATACGAATCCTAGTCACTCGGAGCTTCAGACAAAGATGTTAAACTGCACCTTGCACGTAGTCTTGCTCTAGCTTATCGAAATCAACACATCATTGAATATATATGAAATCTTGACACGATCACTCAATACAACCTAGGATATACGAGACACATTTCCGGAGAACGAGCCACCCCCTTCTCTTGACGAAGACAACTACTCCGAAATACGAACATCTTTTTCTCTCTCTTTCTTCACGCAGTCACTGCTTTAAAAGGAAACTACTCTAAGAAACAAGAAATCCCTCCATCTATCCTTCACTGCAACAAACATTTAAACTTAAAACTCGCTAAACCCCAGATGGCTGGAACCAGTTTAAAACTAGTATTTATATCCAATTATGTTATTGATGAAACTAACTATCTCTATAAAACTTCTTAACTAACCAATCATTATCTATGATTAACCCTTACAATTATTTGTAAAGCTGAAACTATTCATAGTTTCAGCAACAGAGCATAATAAATATAACTTAGTAGACAGTCGTTTACCTTCAGAACCGTTTCTGATATCTAACCTGCAAATACCAGTATACACTAGATCTATTGAGACTAGGAGATATAAGATTAAGATTATGATTGGTATTAGACTAAGAAATCTATCCGGTCGAAAAAAAGATAGCGTGACGAACAAAAAGTGTACTTTATGTGAAATTATTCTGAGTGAGCCACCCCGGAGATAAACTCATTTTGGTAACGGTTTCTCACAAATTTTCTGTGGCGCAAACAAAAAGTCTGAAAACTTTTTTTGGTTGACAAAATGAGACACGAAAAGATTTGAAAGAGTCGTTTTTCAGAAACCAGTCATTTTGTTATCCTTAATTCATGAAACTTTTCCAAAACTATCGGTTTTCAGATGTTATTTTTTAATTTTAGTTTAAATTCAACCCAGTTTAATTTCATGACGTGAATTGGTATCAAGGGGACCCGAGTCGAGATTTTTCACCTAATTTGAAGCAAGATTTGAGCGGTTTAAGCGGTTTTTAGACAATTACGCTCAAAATCTTGCTTCAAAATGAGCGGTTTGAGCGGTTTTTGAACGGTTTATCTAAAAAACCGCTCAGAAACCGCGCAAGATTTGAACGGTTTTGAGCGGTTTATCTCAAAAAACCGCTCAACAACCGCGCAAGATTTAATAATAAAAAGTCGACCACGGAGGGATTCGAACCCGCAATCTTCTGATTAGAAATCAGACGCCTTATCCGTTAGTCTATGCTGACTTGCTGGAAGCTTAATATTCGCTGTATTTGTTCTACTGAATATGTTCAATGTTTTAGACATACACAACAAATATACTGTCAGGATTTTTATTGTCAGTCTCTACAAAATAACAAAAATAATCGATTATAAGATCGCACTCCAAACCACCCCCCCCCCCTACCTCTCACTAGAGTTGATGTCCCCCCTCACCTCTTACTAGAGTTGATGTCCCTTAATAGAGATAGATGTACGTTGAGGGGGTGGGGGGAGTACGTTGAGGAGGGGGGGTACGTTATGTACGTTGGTGGGGGGGGGGGGTGGTTTGTTGGATGTTGGATACGTTGAGGGGGTATGTGGGGGGGGGGGGGGGGTACGTTGGCGGGGGGGGGGGGGGGTTTGGTAAGTTGGGGCGGGGGGGGTCTGGGACCTCGACCCGGGAAGACCGCTCAAAAACCGCTCAAATCTTGCTTGAAAAACCGTTCAAAAATCACCGCAAGAAATGAGCGGTTTTTTAAGCAAGATTTGAGCGGTTTGAGCGGTTTTTCCAAAAAAACCGCCCAAACCGCTCAAACCGCTCAAATCTTGGTGGAAAACCGCTCAAACCGCTCAAATCTTGAGCGGTTTTTGAGCGGGATCTCGACCCGGGAAAAGTGAAGATGACAGATTATTAAAGAACTGAAATGTGAAACACCTTCGATGAATACAACAAAGTGGTGTTAGAACAACATTTGAGATTATCCCTCCAGCTGGCTTTTTCTTTGTCCTACCATGAGCTGAAAATGAAATTTTGTATAGTTCCAAGAAAACACATGAATGACCGTAAATATCTTGAAATTTCCTCAGCAATTTATGATTGACAGTTTTTTTAAAATAAAATTAACCCAATTTGAGAAAAGTTGATTAATAGGAATTGTTTTTATTCCGCTGGAAAATCTGAAAACTAAAGTCTACTTTCGAAACTAGAAGTCGAACACGTTTTTTGTGACCTTTACGCTTTTGCTGTTCAATAGGCGAATTTTCCTTCCTTTTAACTAAGGAAATGAACTAAATTTAAAGGGAAATTGAAAGTCAAACCGCCGAAAAATCAAGTTTGAGCCTGATCAAATTTTGAGATTTTTCCTGAAAAAAACTACATGACCTATATAAAAGTCTGAATTACGTAAATCGACTCTTAAAAACACGCGCATTTAGTATTAAATTAGATATTCCGTTGCAAATTCACTTATAATAATGGCAGAAATAACGTAACTAATTCATCAGTCTTCGATTATGTGAAATGATTTTCCAAAGGTTCAGTTCGAAGTTAGCGAGTTCTTACTTCAGGGACCAATTACCTAATAGCCAACAAATGAGTTGTTCACCTGGTTACAGATAACTGATGTAGTTCCAACACAAACTTTTGTGATTTTTTTTGGGCTGACTGAGAAGCGTTGCTTCACGATCATGTTATGAGCACAGATCCTTCTTCACGTTTTAATCGAGGCAAAACTGTTTCAACTTTTAGTCGGGAAGGGGAAGACGACTGACGCTGGAGATGTACAGGGGAGACATGCGAAGTTTGGCTAAGCAACGGATGGTGGACTGCAGTGCGGTCTCGATATCAAGGACTGCAATGTTGTCTCCCCCGAATACTAATGAGTTGGAGAGTTTCGGGGAGGAAAAAGGAAGTGGGCGGAGCATGGAAATACTCACCTGTTCTGATGGAGTTGAACATGAGGAGGATAACTCGTGAGTTAAATAAAAATAACAATAACTGGAAAATGACTGAATTATCCTGGGCAAAATGAAAAAAATAAACTCTTTAGTGGAAAAATTCATTTCTATGCCATTGAAAAACTCTATGCCATTGAAAAGCTGTAAGTGTTAAATGTAGGAGACAGTGAAAATCGATTGACGTCATTCACGGTTCAAAAGTCACGGTAACTAAGGCTGCAGTAGTGTTTCGATGGGTGTAGAAGCGGTCGGATTTTTCTTCCAGACAAAATTTTCATGAACTTTATTTAGATTTGAGGATAACTCGAGTCTTCTTCCGAACCAGAACTCAGACTCTGATAGAAACATCGACTCCGAGTTGAATGATTCTTCTGAGGGAGCGCTTTCAGATCTAGGAGAATTTGATGCTGGCGATGATAATTCTGACTCGTCGTCCAGTGCTTCATCTACATTCGATGACATCAGTGGCGATGATATTGATGACGTCATGGAGGACTTCGAGATTGTGGATCCGGACGATTCAGAAATGGAACAAGAACCATTCGAGGAGCTTAACAAGGTATTGCAATCACATAATGATATCTTGATAACTGCTCTATCTATGTTGTCTGGTTAATAATTTCCACCGTTATGAAATACTAATTCAATGGATAAGCATATGCAAATTGTGTACCTTGTAACGAATATACCCCCTTACACAATAGAGAAATAGTTAATAAGATCTTAATTCAATCATAAATCCTAATGTTTCAGGCGTTCAAAACGGACGCGCCATCATTTTCTATGAGTATGAATACCAATGACGTCAATAGAGTTCCGTGCTATTTGGAGGACTACCTGCTGCGCAGTGACTACATAGCTCACTATCATCGCGACTTCGTCGTCCGCAAGCGGAGATTGGGGCTCTGTGCTAGAGGAGGGGGTGGGAGGGAAATCAGCAGTCGAACAAGGGAAATTGTGGTGGATTGGTTGATCCAAGTACAGGTACCGATTGTTCCGGTCTTTTTCTGTAAATGGAAGACAAACTTCGATTCGATTTCTTATACCTGCCCAGTTTAAATACAAGCAAATGGCCGAAAGAAAGAAGGTCACCTCGAAGACGTAGAAGAACTATCGTTCACAACTGCTTTTTCAACTTATATCCAACTATGTCTTATAGGGTTTTTGGGTTCATCAAAGTTATTTATAACCAGAAAAGATAAACAACGACCTGTTGCCTTTTGTCATCAACCCTTGAATTTCATGGACATGAAAGAAAAAATCGCGAGAAAGTCACAGAAATAGTATTTTTTTTCCAATTTTTTAATATAAGGATTGGAAAGACAAAGTGACCAGCTGCCCCACTAAACGTCTATCCGTGGAAAGAAATATAGACGGAGCAAAATATAATTATTTTATAATATGTGTACACGAATTCAGAAACCTTGTTCCATTTGCTGCCTGTGTGCGTAGAATTACTGTGGGTTTGAGCTGGAGTCTCTCTACACTGGAGTGGCCATGTTTGATGTCTACAATGCAGTCTGTGTGCCTGATGTGGAGAGTGTCCAGCTAGTGGCCATCACTTGTATCCTCATAGCTACTAAACTACACGAAGAAGACCACGTAGATGTAAGGTGTAAATGCGGCAAAGTTGATCCACTTTTCGACCAATTTGTTAAGAGTAGAGCTACTCAACAAGCGGGACACTTGAATGGTGAAATTGAACATGCTCAAAAAGGGGTGAAACTTATCGTAAAACGAAGAACTCAGTAAAGACTCTTATATAGGTCGTGATGATTTTTCAAAGGAAAAGTGTTAAAACGCTCTTATAATAAAGCTCTTATAATAGAAGAAAAGCATTCAGACTTATAAATGCGGATCCCGTACCGAATTTTTGTCACAATTTCACGTCTGATCATGCAATTTTCAGACACCAGCTGTTTTCCAGCTCGTGCATATGTTTCACATGTGATCACTTTTGCAAACAATGCCGTTTGCAGACTATACCTGATTCAGACATGGCTATATCTGGTCAGACATGACTATACCCGAGTAAAACATGACTATACCTGGTCAGTCATGACTGTGCCTGGTCAAACATGACTGTGTCTGGTCAGACATGACAGTACAGAAATGATATTTAATTTCAGGGCTTGAAAACAGCCAAGCTTACTTGTGGCAATAAGATGAATACTTCAACTCATTTTGAAAATCTGTTCACATCTGAGCAAAGTATATTCGACTTGGTTTCCTTCGTTTCGATCTCTTTACATGCCTCTTTACATATTTTCATCACATGCAATTTCTTCTCTCGAAACATTGATGATAATACTCTTCACATTTTGAATGTTGTGAATATTGAACTGGCTCACGTGATCTTTAGCCTTAGCCCCCTTCGTGAAAGTTATAAAGGAAATTCCTTTCAGGGCTTTTCCAGGTTTTTATCCCCAGGTGTTATATTTACAGCCCAGTGTGGACGTGGATCATCTAGATAAGAGCATAGTTATTTGCGGATTATCCAAGAAATATGCGCTCTTTTCTAGTTTCCCACCCCCTCGTAAAATTACTTGTAATTTCAGGTATGATCCAATTAAGTAAATATGAAAGCTGAAATGGGGCTATAAACGTAATCAATTTTTAGTTTCAAGAGTGGAATTTAATTTTTAGATATACTGGCGGAATAAAAAACATTCCCTAATAACCCAGTTTTTTTTCAATTTGGTTAAATCCTTCAAAAAACTGACAACTATGCATTGCTCGTTGCTCATATATTTTTTGAAATATATTCTTTGCGTTTTTTGACTCTTTTCCATTTGTGTGTTGGGTATGTTTAGAACAATCGGGTAATGAAAACAACGTTTTTGAAAAAATTTAAATGCGAACTGAAAGATATTTTTATTTGTTGTTTACACATCGAGCTCTAGCGAGAGTAGTGAAATAGCACGAGAATTCTTTATAAAACCTCAGTTGCATATATTGGTGGCACTCTACTTTTATTTGATAGCATGTGCTTTTGATCGGTATTAAGTTAAAGCATGTCAAATGAACCGAAACAAAATTGACTTGTTTCAAACTAAGGTACAATAATAAAAACAGCAGATCGAAGTTTTGGAACCCTAAATATTTCGCAATTTGTTTGAAATGCAAAATTGAAACATACTTTGGCATTTTGCTTCCTTTTTTTGTTATATACAAAATTAGTCTGGATGCCTCTAGATATTAATACTTTTTACAAATGCCAGGGTGTGTGTTCTGGCGGGGCCTCTTTTTTCTACTTTATTTTGTTTTATTTCTCAAATAATCAATGATCGGACTAGTGTTTTCCGCAGCACGGGTTTTTCTTATACTGTGATAATTTTTCTTAGTTGGTGCACTAGTCTTTCAAACTGATTTGTTCTTTCATTTTTTCGCCGAGCCTTAGTAAAACAACAAATGGAGTCTCAAATCTAAATGATGAGTTGTAATTTAACCTAAACACCTAATTTAAAAAAATTGTTTATTTTGGTTATTTTTGGTATCAATTTAGTCTTCCTATCATTTGTTGCACGTAGGTCGATAAACGCACGTCCTAATGTTTTTTTTGTTTTTTTTTCATGAAATTTTTTTTTCACGCTCTAAGCAAACTTTTAGCGGTTTGATTTTCGATTTCTTTCTGAGCTCAGTACGTTTATTTTGTTAAAGGGAGGCAAATTCCACTATCGAACAACAAAAGTTTCAAAGTTTCTAGTTTCAAAATTATGTTTTAGTTTTCAGATTTCCTTGCGGAATAAACTTTTTGTTTTGAGCTAGTTTTCTCAAATTGGGATAACTTTATCAGAAAAGTGTCAATCATAAGTTGTTCTTTAAATTCGAAGAGCTTGAAAGGACATTTAATTTTTTTGGTTGAATATTAACAACATATAAATATCTCAAAATTGGCTTTCATTTTGTCAAATACTCTCTCAAATTGTGGGACAAACAACTAGACATAGATATGCAGCAAATTTTTCATTATGAAGTTGTTTTTATTTCTCCATAAATTTGTTTTTCGTCTCCCTATTTAATCTTGTGAAATCATCTGGTTAGAACATGAACTAAAATGGATGTTAATGTAGTATGGGGAATGGAAACAGATAAAGTTTTGTTGCTCGTGTTGCCAGATAGGGAAGTTGATCCATTTGACGGAGGACAGCTACACTAAGCAGCAGGTGTTGGAGCTGGAGAGGAATCTGATCAAGTTCTTCAACTTCAAACTAGACTTCTCCACCCCCTTTCACTACAGACTACTCTACGAACACGAAGACCCACAGGTAGATTGATAGAAGCGAACTCGAACTAGAGTAGCGAGCTGCTGTGTGAGTAGTTGAGAAGGTTCGAGTAATGGTACCTCCTTCTTTTTTGCTAAAATCAAATTTTAATTTTTAAAAAATAACATTTTAAACGCATTTTGAAATGTTCGTCACTTTCTCTACTCTCTAATTCTGTCTATAATGCAAAATTTCAAATCGATATTTGAAATTTTGCGAAATTTCAAATCTTACATCAGTATGATTGAGATTGGTGGTCATCACAATCTTGTAAACTAACAGACATAACTTGAGAATGCCTTCATTTGTTCCCGTTCGACTCAGGATTTGTTTCATTGTTGATTTAAAACGGTGGTTTTTTTCAATTAAATATTTTTGGCCTAAAACGTTTCCTCTTATAACAAATTGACTCACCAGCCTGTTTTTGACTCGTTTGATGTGCAAAAGAATTTTTATCAAAATGCTTTGGAAGGACTTAAAAGCTTTGAGTTGCTGGTGGTGTGTCCCAGGGTGTGTGAACCATTTATTACCGGCCAGGGTGTCTGCGCAAGAATTGTCGGCTTTATTCCCGCTTTGTACCTTTTGTTTCGATGCTCATTACACTTGCGAGATCCAGTGTCTTGTAATTGGGAACTAGACTTTTTCCCCGTACAATTTTTCTTACAAGAAATTAAAGATGCTGTATAAGTGAACCTTAGCATATTCGAGACTGCACTCGAGATAATGTAGTCACTTTTTACCATAAGATTTGGGGTTCGAGTCCCGGTCCGATCTTGTTTATTTTCAGTCTGCATGAAATTGCATTTTTTTTAATGCAAACTGACTTATCGTTCTTTCGTTTGTCTGCTAAATTTTGTTGGCTGAGGTGCCACATTAAGGATTTATCCTGTGCTGTTGATCAATTTAGTTTCAGGAGAGACTAAAAAGTTATAAAAACCTTTTATGAAAATCAATTTTTTTCTGGCTCAACTGTTGTCTGCACGAAGGTGTCCGGCTTTGTTTCAGCTTCGTAAGTTTTGTTCCGTTGCTGATTTAAATTCAAATGCCTTGCTTGACACGATAAACTATGATGTTTGCTTAAAGTAAACAGGTATTATGGAAATAGATGGGATTGGGATTTTTAAAATTTTTTATTCAGGCGTTTTCAAAAAGTTTTTCAAGAAACAAGCCCATTTTTTGGTTAAATGTTAGAACTTTTTGACTTTTCTCAAAAACTACCCGGTCGAATCGAAGATTAAAGCTTTAACGGAAATTAAAATTCAATTATGAGCATCTTACCTAAGCAAGCGACTATAACCTGCGTTTTGAAAAAAAATATGGCCTTAGAAAATGACAAACTTTTGAAATTTCGCAGGTTTTATCGGAAAGTTTTTTTTTCGAAAACTGACCTGCTGATTCTGAGGTTGATAGTTCTTTAAAAGTGACAGGGTGCTTGAATTTTTCGTGCGTAATCTGTTTTAGACTGTTTTAACCTGTTTTTTGTAGAAAAGCTGATATGGACTTCGGAAAAGTCCCGTTTTTAATTTTAACCTTTTCTTTTTTAGAAGATTCGTCACTATTCTATTATACTAGCTAAATCTGATTTTAAGGGTTCAATCTAAGAAATCAGGGTTCCGAAATGTTCAATTTAAAAATCGGAGTGTAGAAAGCAGGGGCTATTTCCATGTTTAAGTAGAAAATTTTTTTGGAATTTATGAAAAATCATTTTTAATTTGTGAGTTTTTGATCACTTTTTGGAATCTTCTGCACTTTTTTTCAGAAACTACTGAGGCAAATTTAAAATAAAGACTTTGATTGAAAGAGCAAGTAGCAGTTAACCGCATATTTGAGAAGAGAAAAACTGGGGTTTCGGGTAAAGTCCATTTATTTGGAAGTTTGAATATTATGCATTTCGTATTGGTACTGTATATGATTTAAAAGAATAGAACAGGCAGATCAAGCTTTATTTGAGCCGTTAGTTTACTTTCAAGCAACCGAAGAGCAGATGCGAGGTCCTGAGACTCCTAAGCAATAGGCCGGATTTTCAAATCCGGAACATTTACTTAGTTTCAATTTTTTGCTGCATAATTTGATAGAAACTGTAGCTGTTTTATTAGGAGCTAAAGTTAGTTAAAATAAAATGGTCACGGAGCAGATATGAGAACGTTATACTCCATACTCCTTATTAAGGTAGTGAGCTCTTTCTTTTTACATTTTTGTCGTTTGTTTCGCCTCTGTGTTTTTACTAAATTTGCTTGTTAATATTTTTTTTTACAATTGCAATCAGTTAAAGTGTTGCATTCTAGATTTTTTTCAAGCGAAAATAATTTAGTTCACACAATGGTCATTTTAGTAAGAAGGGTAAATGTCATGCTCTATGGATGGCATGGTTAACTTCGTTAGCTTACGTTGGGTAAGTGAATTTAATCAATCAAATTTAAATGAAACAATCACTGTTTAAGTAGTATATGGGTGGATTTTGTTTCAGTTAGTAATCATTTTTCTATAAACTTCTACGAAATCAATTTTGCTTTTTGGTTCCAATTTCTGTCGTTTAGTTTGCATTTTTTTGTTCGTGTTTTGCAAGTGGTACGAAATTTATGTAAATTTCATACTACCGATCAAATCCTTGCTGGAAGCTTAGAACGAAGTATTAACGAATGTTTAATACGTGTACTAATGAAAAGTTCAACGCTTTCTCTTTGTCCTTAATTTGTCTGAGGCAAAAAAATCGAAACGATGTTTCTCGGCACCGAGAAGTCATTTTGAAAGTCTTATAGTACCGATTGAGCTTCGGCTGAAATTCAAAAATACGTCCCGTACCGAACAGAAGCTGTTTTCTAGATAGAAATTCTATGAAGATTATCTAGCCTGTTTTTCTCATATTTTCCGTGCAGAAGTGATCTATTTCTTTTCTAGTTTAGAAACAAACAGTTTCTAGAACGAAATAACCAGAAATCAGTTAACTGCTCAACCGTAACGAGATAAACATGCTTCGAGTATACACAATAGCAGTTGCGAATACAAAGCAAACTTACACTTGTTATAACATTGTTATTCCCCTAAAACTAGGAGGCTCTATCAAGGGCTGTAGCCTAGTGGATAGAGCAAGTGTATAGCAATCAGAAGGGCAGGGGCTGGAGTCCCACCAGTAGACTTTTTTCTAGCTAGAAATAGCCTAGATTTAGCTAATTTCTGATTGGAATTAGGATGAGAAATAAAGTAATTAATAAAAATCCATGCTTTATTTAAACATTTCAAAAAGAATTTTTGACCAGAAATTAGATCAGATACAAAGTATTTCAGGTCACAAATAAAGAATTTTCTCGTTACGGGGTTAAAAACAGATGTTTTTACGTACATTTATGAAGTTTACATCGCCTTCTCTACACTCTGAAGTTGTCTAAGGCACACATTTTAAACCGCTTTTTTGACAGAGAAAATTTTTTGAGAAAGAAACTACAAATGAAATTACGGCTGAAATGACTTTAGTATGATATAACACGACTCAATTTGAAAATTAATAGAATTTGATTCGGTGAAAGCGGGTATTATGCCTTTAAAAAAAACCAATTCGCTAAAAACAATTTTAGCTTCTGTCTTCTTTCTTTATGTCTGACACAGTCAACTTAAACCTCATCTAATTGGAAAAAAACAAGATCAGAAATATAAATTTACTTCAACTTGAATTTTATTAAGTTTTCATTCAAAGCAATTGTTTCAATCTTTAAAGAGGTATCTTTGCAACTAAATTTAATAAGCGCCTTCAGTCTATTAGTTTCAGCCTGAATGCACTTATTTATGATCATTATGCTTATTGATATTATTTTTTTCCAAGTAAGTGCAGTAAAAGTTCTTTTCAAAGAATTTTCTTTGATAAATGTTTTTCCGAATTTGTTGTTTTTAGCCTAGTTTCCGTCGTTTTTTCCGCTTTTTTTAAACTCACTTTCATGTGATCTGGCACGTTTATTATCGGCATTTCTATTAAATAAAGATTTTCATTTCGATATCAGCAGCTTGTACAATCAATGAAACATCTGTAGTTTGTAATTTTACAAGTATGATTTTAGTTTTTTATTCGTTTTTTTTGTTGTTGAATGGTTTTGGCTTATTATTTATCAATTTACTCAATTCTAGTTGCCTAGTTTCGAGGGCAAAATATATGGTTATGCTTTGACGTGTTTCGGTATGAACGGGTCGTAAAAATGTATAGTTTTTCATAAGGGGAGCGGTGGTGAAGTGGTTACGTCTCCGCCTCTCAATCAAAAGGTCGGTTGTTCGAGGCCCACCATGATCCGTGCTCGTTGCTTGAGGGTGAAGCAACATTACCCAGCCAAGAAAAATAACCAAACAAATTGCATGTAGTTCTTAAATAGGGGCACAACAGCGGTTCGCCGTGATGAGCTGTACAGCTCTTGTGTTGGTCCTTTCCCCCGTGGATAAATGGTCTTAATAATGATTTTGTTTTCGGCTTAACAATGGTCAACTCAAGTTTGGCCGCCTTACTGGCCGCTCGTTAAAACTTGTCCCAATGGTTTTTAATGCTGCTAATTACCATCATCCAATACAAACACGGGTTTTATGTAGGTTTAGTTTTTCCGAGTCAAAAATGTAATTAACTTTTTCAACCTATTTTCTTTTAAAATGCCCGATTTTTTTTGAACTTCAGCACCAATTTTCTTCTCTCTTGGCCTAGCGGTAACATGGTCACAATTGCAGCCTTTGCACCGTAGGGTCTGCAATTTTTTCAAACAGTTTTTTTTTTTTACTTTGTGACTGCCGTAAATTTCATTGGTTAGTATTATATCGACTTAGCAGCCGCAATTGACGTCGCTTTGTTTGTGTGGTTTATCGGCTTTGTGTCGTTATCGGCAATTTATGTCTTTTTATCGGCGTAGTGGCCAAATTTTACGTCGTTTGATTGCAAAAATTTGTGTGTTTGGAGACTTGAATTTTTTTTTGAGTTTCTTTTTTGCGTTTGAAAATCCATTTTGAACGCCCGTTTGTTTGTTGTGTTCAGAGGCGAGTGCTGGTCGATTACCTGTTGGAGTTAGCGATGAAGGAGCTGTTCTACACCCAGTTCAGTCCACTCCATCTGGTGGAGAGCTGCATCTGGGCAGCCATCATTCTCCAGTCTGGACCCGCCAGCAGACCATGCATCAGTCAGACACACGTTCTGGGGTGAGAAGAAACAAAGAAGTAATCGACAACAGTAGCCTGTGGTGCAGTTATTTTTTGATAAATTTGGGACCTTTTAAGAAAGCTCAAAAAACGGTTTGGGTTCACATAAAAAAGAGTTGCTCTTCGTTTTTGAATTTTTTGGTTGTATTTTATAATTGTGCGTTCGAATTTTCAAGGAAAATGAGGGAATTGCTGTTTTCCTTCATACTTTTTAATTTTTTTTGTACTAACTATTTGGTTTTATTTCATAATTATGCGTTCGGTTTTCATGAAAAATGATGGAATTTGGGTTTTTTCTTTCACCTTTTCAACTATTTAGCTAAATTATAGGTTTTTTTTTCAATTGTTCGTTCGGATTTTCGTGTAAATTTGAATTTTTTCTCTTAATTTTTTTTTTATAAATTCGTGGTTTATTTTTATTCTTAAGCTTTTGGTTTTCATGAAAAATGATGGAGTTTGTAATTTTTTCTTTCTACTTTTCTCGACTATTTGACTAGGTTCTTGGTTTACTTTTATAACTGCGCGTTCTGTTTTCATGAAAAATGATGGAAATTGTGTCTTTTTTCTTCATACCTTTTCAATTATTTAACTAATTTATAGTTTGTCTTGTAACGATACATTTGATAAATTTAGTTGAAGTGTGGTTGGTGAAGTGTAATTGAGTGTGGTTGCTAGAAATTATTGCAAATCTAAAAATTATCTTACTATTTTACGTTTGATATTTGAAAAATATTTGAAAAATCTAATTCCCTTTAATGTATGCTGAAACGATCTGTCAAATTGATTAGTATAAATTATATAAATAACCACTTGATAGAACCCAGTCTGGGAGATGGGCATTAGACAAATTCTGCCTGTTTTCAGACGTCTCTGAGCGCAAAAAGAACAGGTTTTAATTGGGATGGTGCTGTAATACCACTGTTATTTTTGTTACAATACTATTGAATGAATACTTTTTAAATCTACAGAAATGAAAAATTAATTAGTTAGACATTTGAAAACCCAAATGTGAAAATTTTGGTGAGATTTTAACATTGGATAAAACCGATACTATGAGAAAAAACTTATCTCTAGAAACTTATTGAGAAAGTTGTTAATTCCATGGGTGTCATTTTGCAAATCATTTCGAAAAACTTCGGGAAAAGATTTGTGAGACAATTGTAGAGTTTTTGAGTTCTGGCGGCAATTGAAAACTTTTGGTGTTTTCAGGGTTGTTCAATTTTCTTTACTCGTTATGATTATGATGTAATTTGAAGTTTGTCAGTGTGATTATTTTGCTGAGAGTCACAGATTCACTTTCATTGCGAGCAACTTTACAGAGAATAAGCTCGTGTAAATGAAGCTCTTTCACAATATATACTTTCATTTTTTCCCACAATAAGGACACTGATTCGAGATTTTTGTTGAAATTTTAGTTAATCTGTAGATGTAGACATCAATCTTGTAATGGTTTGGTTTGGAAGTCGACCCATTTATTAACACGTTATATTGATTTCATGATATTACAAAATGCATTTGAGACCTAATTATAGTTTGATCAACATGCAAGTTTGAGTCCATCACATAGGCTGTAGGAGGCAATTATCAAATAGAACCAGGCCATTGAATCCCTAAAATAGCTAACAAATATTGGGAAACACTCCCAGGGTTAGATGATAAGATGTTTCAGCCTTAAAATGGTAGCAACAGGTGCAGGATACGGTTGTTTTTTTTTCTTCCTGCGAATTTCTTTTCCCAAAATGATGAAAAGATTGCTTATAGAAAATTCGTATAAATTTTGTAAGAGGACAGTGGTGACAATTTTTCGTTAACAGATCGAGCACTAGGGTTTCCGAATCCTAAAACCCTCATGTAAACATGGCTAGTTTTTTGTGGCTCTCGCACGCTTCGTTGAGACAGATTTTTAAAACTCTGCTGAAAACTACGTTTATTTGTAACAAAAGAGCTCGTCGGCCGAAAAAAGTTGAAAAAGAGTACCTAAGTAGAGATGTTTTATGATCTAAAAAAGTAGAATGAATGTGGTTTTAGACCTCCGATTCTTCTAGTTCTACAAACGGTACAAAACTCAGCCACTGACCAACGAACTGTAAGTTGAAACATCCAAATTGCTATGTTTAGATTTTTACAAAATATTAAAATATATAATTATAACTTTGAATAAAATTAAAGTGTATTTTGTTTTAGGGAGCGAAGGAGAAGTACTCGAGTGAGAAGTTCCTTTCGATCAGTCGGAACCCTTGTGTGACTCAGTTTTCAGCCGCTCAAGTAAATATCGGCTCCGGCTTAGCCACATCTTGTGGAACTGGCGAGGTCAACGCGGAGAGATGTCCCATCTGACCCTAACGGAACAGACCGCAACCAATTAATAGGCAAAGAAATATTTTATTAATAATTTAAATATCTATAGAAATAAACAAATTAATAAATGTTTAGTTTGTATTATGAGCAGGAATTTCCGAACAAATATGATTGTTGGGTCCCTAAATTAATGCTACGTTTCTGACGAAAAAATGAAGCTATTTTATTGCTTTTGTTTGGTCTGCAACAGAACTTGGGAGTTCCTCCTTTCATGGTTGTTTTTTCTAAGAAACCAACCATCATTGTTCGACTTGGGCTCAAAAGTTGGCAATCTTTTTGTAAAAGATTGAAAACGATTTAAACTCAAATCCCACAAATCTATCTGTGCCATAAATTTTTCAGAATGACGGTGTGCTGGTTTTCGACTCATTCTTGCTATATGTTCATCTGAAGACTGGAGCTAATTTGATGCTGTTTGGCCTTGTTGGGTCAATAAATTGTTTTCGTTGTTCGTTTTTCACGTAAAAAATAAAGATTTCAATTAGTTAGCGAGCATAGTTGGGGTTATCTTTTTAAAAATGTAATTTCGGCGATTAAAAAATGGCAAAGGGGTTACATGTCGAAATGGGGTATGTTCAAATCTGAGTGCCATGTGAGCGGTGCAGTGGAATGTGAAACAATTTTTCTAGATGGAGGGCGGTTTTTTGACAAATTTTAAAGGTTTGCGGACTTTTTCTTAAGTCGATCAATTTGTGTATCAGAACTCAATTTGAGTATCAGAGCTCAAGCGTTTTCAGGCACTTTTTGGAAAACTTTAATTAAAGAAATAGCGTTTTTTTGGCGCGCGCTCCCCCCTCAAAGTTAGTTTCATTGCAGCCAAAGGCGCCTTTAGAAAAAGTTTGAGGTTGGTCAGCCATAATTGGATATCGTAATATTATACCAAACAAAACCCTTTGGAAAAGTATGGCCCACAAAATTGAGGAAAAAACAGTTATTCCCCCACCCCCCTCAGCACTATACTGGAGTGGTGAAAGGCTATTTTTGAGACAATATGCTTACAGTGCCATTTCTGGGAATCATACTCCTTTTTGAATGATTCGAGAATTTGCTTGTTTTGGCAGTACCTAGCGACTCAAATGTAAAATTTCTCAGGGCCGAACGAGATTTTTTAGAGCCTATCGACCGGAAATGGACGGCGCCAAACAACATCTGTTTGAGTGGGGGCAGTAGAAGTTGATTGGCGAAAATTGCTAAACATCGGTGGGCATAATTGCTCCTGCGCTAATCCTGCCCAAACATTATCCTTATGCTCCACCCATCCAAAAGTTTTAACTCATTTTGGGCTTGTAGAAAAAAAGATTAAAACTTGAAGTTTGCTGTCAGTTTAAACCTTAATAAAACAACCTTGATTTGCTCCAGTGTCAACTGCAAATTGGAGAAGTGTAATATCTGCATTTCGGAATAAACAACTTAGCATGCTGGCACCTTATGCACTAGCTTTTGAAGAGGCTCTTAGATACTAAACACCTTAACTATCTTTCCGTGTCATATATGAAAAACTCGTACAATATTTGTGCAACCAAAACAAATTGGAAAGTAAAAATCAAGTGTGAGCGTGAAAATTTTTTCAAATGTGGGTGGGTAGGTTGTTCAAACTTTTCTCATGCATTTCATTCTACATAACTTGTGGAAGCAAGGCACGATTCTTATTTGTTTACAAATGAGCAGCACGATGAAGGAGTAGAGATTTTTTGGCGCGCGTTGGAATGTTAGGTTTGCTGAAAAAATGAAAGACAAATTTTAGTTTTTGTTTCGACTATTTCTGAAAATTAATATCGATTTTGTAACTAGCGTTTTCGACAAGTTTTTAACATTCAATAAGTATTGTTACCTTGAGGTCAAATTTGAAATAATATTATCAGTGAAGTTATGGGGGTTTAAGGGCTGCCAATATGGGGCAAATAACGCGCGATAAATTTCGTGCTTTTAACGCGTAAGCTGTGGTTTAAATCTGTTTTAAAACTTGTTTTTAATTGAGGTAAGGCAAGCTATTTGGTTCAGTTAACATTTTGCTATATGCAAATATATCACTTTGTACTTTACATATGGTTACATACAAATCATAAAAAATTTACTTAAAAAAATTGTTTATAAATTTCAATTATTGTACGAACAGTCTTAATTGATACAAGCAGTCTTGTCTGAGTTTAACTTTTAGATTTGGAGAAAGTTTGAGCTATTCAAGTATATCACGCATGCAACAGATGAGCCAAAACATGTAATTTTTTCTTGAAATTTACGTTAGCCAGCGTAGCTTGCAAGCGTAGTGTTTTAAGGTCAGTTCACTTCTAGTGCAAAATGCTCAACTAAATGCAAAGATGAAAGCGCAACTTATTTGAGCGCATTTTATCTAAAATACGAAGCCGTCAAATAAAATTTTTCCGACCTTGAACCGAGTGAGTTATGTTCTTTGGTCTAACTCATACAGTAATTTCGGATAGGGTACACCGTCTGCTCGTCACGCTATCTTATTTTCGGCCGGATAGATTCGTGCAACTTTTTAGTCAAATACCGATCCTAATCTTACTCTTATATCTACTAATCTCAGGGTGTTTAACTAGTTTCTGCTAGGCTCAATAGATCTAGAGTATACTGGCTTATTGCGATTGCCAAAAGGTCTCTTGGAGAGGTAACTAATTTCTAAGTTAAATTCAAATCTCTCTGGTGCTGAAATTACAAGTAATTTCAGCACTTACAAATAAATGGGTTGTTAGTTAGATGGATCATGATTGGTTAATAGTAAAAATTTCATAGTGATAAAATATATAATTTATAACCAATAATAATAAAATGTAGTTTAGATCTAGTTCCACCCATCCGGGGTTTGCAGAGTTTTTGATTTTTATCTTCTGTCTGTAATAAGAGGATGGATGACGATCATTGGTATTTGGCGAACATCATTTTCTTATTCTGTTCTTGGAGAAGAATGCTCCAGGAAGCAAGGATCGTCGACATGAAGTTGATAGTTGTTTGTCCGACGATGACTGCGACGGTCCGGTGAAATCAATCTGATTTCAAGATGGCTTGCTATGATTGCTTGTTCTGTTTTGGTGGAGAACTGATTGAGTATCCCTCTCGTCTGGGAATGGCGTGAAGATTGTGCTTGGAGGGAACGCCTTGTAACTCGGATCTGTACGTATACTTGAACATCGAGGTGATCATTGGTCTGATTCAATGAAGTCCTTTTCTGCGAAGTCAAGTTGTACTCTAAATCGTTTTTGAGTCGTGATTGTCAGCGGCATGTCGGTTGTGTTTAGTCGTTCTATAGGTTGAGTGTGATGGGGTCGTCTAGTCTTTCGATGCTCGTCTTTGTGGTTGTGTGTGATCTATGTACTGCATATTATGATTTACATTGTATAAAATTATGTTAATTCTTTTTTTTAGTTATGAATTTGGTTAGTTGTTTTCGCAAAAGCGTATTTGTTTTAGTTCAGTTATTTTTAGTACTCTTGAGTACCTCTTGTCAAAAATATAGTGTGGTCGCAAAGCATGGATGTAGCAAGGTGGGTTAGGCCGGTTATAGAGCATGCTCAGGACGTCCTCTCTGGTGGGTTAGGCCAGGAGTGAGAATCTGATTTCATGCTGGTTCTTTAAGGGGTCCTGTTTTGTGCTAACGTTTTATGTTATATTATTTCTGGTTTTTCTTTTGTTACTTTGCTTGTCCTTTTCTCAAAAATCAAATTGTTTTTGGTTTGGGTTTGTCTTGCGACTTTTGGGTTTTATTATTCCTTTTTTTGACTTGGTAATAGTCTTCAAAAGAATAAATTATCCAGTTTTAAGCTGATTTAATCCGGTTTGGGTACCATAGGTTTTCTTTTTTTAATCATGCTATTAGTTTATGGTTTATGGTGTTTAGTAAGCTGCGTTGGTTAGTTTGGGTTATTATATAGTTCCTTTCCAACCGGCTTAAAGGAAAGCTGGAAACTGGTTATCGCTTGTTTGAGTTGTTGTTAGTGAAAACTTAAAACTTGAATTCATTATTTTAAACAATTCTTTGTGGGCGAGCTGGGCGATTTTGGATAGAATTCTTGTGCGGGTGAATAGAAGATATGTAAAAGGTTAGTACTGCTTTCTTCTCTGTATAAATTTACTACTTTGAAATTGAATTTTACTGCTTTGTGGGAGTCTGAAATTATAAAATAATTTTCATCGTATTTGATTTTACTACATTTAGGCAAATAACTTATAGATAAATTTACTACTTTGAAATTGAAATTTACTGCATCATTTAGTGCTAAAGGTTTAATAGAGTTTATTATGATTAAAAGAGTTTGTATTTTTGTTTGTTTTTTCTTGTTTATAGGTGATTGTGGTGTGAAGACTAAAGAAAAGTAAATCATTTATAAAGAATGGTTAGTTTTATTTTGAAAAAGTTAGTTTTGAATTATTCAACTCATACTTACCTTAATCGTCGGAAAAGAAGCCATGAGGGAAAAAATCGTGAATAGCATCTGATGTGGTTAATAATTTTGCGAATGATGTTTTTAGTTTGAAGCAGTGGCCAAAGCAATTGAATTGCTTTTATGATTTTTAGTTCTTCGGTGCCTACTGCAAATTCGTGTGGTGTGTTCTGAATTAGATTGTAAATTTTGTGATTATATCTACTATTGTAGATGAATTCTAAAATGGGTATTTCTATAGGCTGAATATATTCATGCGGGACTATTCGGGGTTGGGATTCTTCTTCGTTGAAGGTCTTGGTGAAGGGACAGAATATATACATCTGGGTGATTGGATCATAATTCTGGAGGATGCCTTGAAGGTTAGTATCTTTAATACAATATGTGAAATTTAAGAAAAACAGTGAAGTGTATTTAGAATTTATGAAATGAAATCTGTGGTGGGTTTGTCTTGATGGCGTGTCTAAATGAAAATGATTCTGTATAAAACGATAATAAGTGTGGGTGCGTTTGTTTAGTTCTCAACATGATGTCGTGTGAACAGTTCAAATCACGTTCTTTTGGTGTAAGAAAATGAAAGGTTAGTGAAAATGTTTGAAGTTTTTCGTAAAATGATTCGTATGCTTGAATGTCGGATAATTTTTCTGAAATAATGTGATCATGCTTTTTATCTTGTATGCTAAGTGTGAATAAGTAGGATGTTTCAATGAACAATTTTTCTGTTAATTGTGGGTTTGCAAATTGATCATCGTCAAGAAATTGATCTTGGTTAGGTCTGATGATCTTATGATCATATTATTCAATTATTCAATAGTCGTTAGCTCGGGGTGCAGTGAATGTTTTTAGTAATTTTTTAAATCCTGTGTATGTAAATTGTCGGGATGTTAGTGACGTGGTTAGTCTGAATAATTCGCTCTTATTTCTCTCAATATCTTGTGTGGTGTTATGGAGTGGTAAAGAAAGGGGATTAGTATAATTGTAATAAGCGGTCCTATGAAGTGT